GGGGAGGGGAAAAATCGTTCTTAAAAACTTAATACAAATTATGTAACTGACCATGGCTAAGGAAGAAGCTGTACAAAAGATAGTTACTTCAGATTATTGATATTTCATTTCGTTTCTTAAAAGTAATTGCAAATCCCATTTATTGTGAGGTAAAAAATATTCTCTAGTGGTGCACAACCACCCCAACGGTTCGAACCCAGGACCTCTTGGTTACAAGGTAAGCTCGTATACCATTTAGCTACTGGGACGCGACCCACTGGCCATTTCATGAATTCTAACTTCTGCCAATTCATGACATAGCGTGACCACTTCTCAATGTCTTCTTCGATGAGTTACTGCCTCACCTTCAACCTGCTGCACTCCACTGGTCATGACTCCTCACCAGAATTCCAGGTTAACTGCCTGAATAGGACCAGTCGCTAGTGAGAATCTCATTGATATTCAACTATTGGTTTGTAGGGATTTGGTTGATTGGTTACAGGATTTCATCACGAGCTGACATCAGTTGGAGAAACATTGGAAAACCATCTGGGAGTACTGAAAAACTGTTTCGTCCTAGCTTGGCATTCTTCAACAGTACACACCCACTGGTACTGCCAGGTTTTCCAATGGTTCTCTAACTGATGTCATCTCATGATGAAATCCTGCAGTCAATCAAACAATATCCTTACAAAACCAACACTTTTAAAACTATTCTGTTCAGGTAGTCTTCCACTGTAGGCTTACAGGATCCTGTAAGGTAAGGTAAAATTATTCGTTTGAAGGAAACAAATTGATGTCCTCATGTTAAAAATGCCAAATAAATGTTTTATTTAACGCCTTGATACTATTCAGAAGTTTATCAACTATGAATGAGCATATTATAAAATAAATTTTCAGTAAGTGTTTATATATATATATATAATCATATTTTAATTTCGCCAATATTTCGAGCCAAACTATCACCCTTTAATTAAGTATAAACACTCATTATAAATTTGTTTATAATATGCAAGTACTGCATCAGTGATGTTTGTAGGTGTGATATTATGAAATGTTTCATACTTAGATGTTCACAAATAACAAAGAAACAGGTGATAACCACTCTGAAAGGCGATCTTTCGTGAAGCAATTTATCTCACGTCTTAGCGATTTCTAAAAGAATATTTCGTTTGACTTTTTACATTGAGAAGTTAAGGCACTCAGGCATAACTCAACCCCTCCTCTTACAGTTTGTCAACACGTGCATCTTACCTATTCTTCTTTACTGTTCACCCTTACTCTTTCCTGGATTGCTTAAAAAGACTATGTCATACTTGGTAGAACTCTGAAAACTGTCAGCAGAGCGAGTGGTATCCCGTTGGGCCATATCCTTGACATCGACACTGACAGGCACTTGAATTCATGTAACAAATTTGCTAAAGGAATTTTGTCAGACTCTGAGCACCCACTCTACCCGCAGCTCCAACCTTGCGTCTCCTCATGTAAAACAAGAAGTCTTTTCAGAAGAATTCATGCACGTACCTCCAAGTATAAAAATTCCACTATACCATATTTGGCACGTACTTTGTGTGATGAAAATAGTGTCAGGCATAAACTAACCAACCTTCTTAGCACCAGTAAACAAACCATTTCCTTCACCCTTAAAGCATCATTCTTTATTGTTATTGTAGTTCTTATATTTATAATCCTCTCAAATTTTTCTTTTTTGTTCATTTTTTTCATAAGTGCGAGCATAATTTAAGCTGTGTTATAAATGTTAATTTTGTATTTCCCCTCACTATACTATATCAACAGAACATTAGAACCACTAATCTATAACATGCTAAAGTTTCCAAACTGAATCGACAAAACCCTCTTAAACAAACTCACTGTTATTATTATTATATCTAATAATAATGTCGTAAATGTGGGCAAATTCCTCCGATTAATTTTGTTTTAATTTTTAATTTTATTTATATTTTGAGTAGATCAGATGCAATATTGTGACAAATACTGGGAATTCCATTCTGTATTATAAGTATTGTTTTTGGAATAAAGTAAATTATTATTATTATTACTATTATCTTCGGACAAGCTACTAACGATGAAAACTTCTTAAAGTGCATTATCTTAAGAACCCGACAAACTGAATGTGGCGTGGACGCAGGAAACTGATTTCTGCGTTCTGTCGTATAACCGTCCAAAATGTTTCTCAGACATGAACACTCACAGAATTCTCCAATGACAGCAAAATGATGACTGTTCGTGGCTGGATTCTATGCATGATTCTCAGTAGTGTCGCAAGGCAGCTTTACAATGAAGAGGAAGTCCTAATTACAAGACAAGTACTTAGAATCAAGTGAAATATTTCCAAAGAAAAAAGGGACAAGACAAGGAAACTAATATACGAGAGGAGGACGGTAAAAGGGAAGATGACTCAGTGAAAATATGGGGAACAGAATGAGAATCTAAGTTCAGTTTTCATTGCACTGAATAAAGAAGTAAAGAAGAGTGCTGGGAAAGACAAAACACAATTCTACGACACACTGGCTGGCAGCTGAAGCAGAACAGACCACAGGTAAAGAGATCTCAGAACATTATATCAAATAACCAGGTCTCTGTCCGGAAAGGAATCAACTCAGATGATGAAACCAATAAAGGATTTTAAAGAGAAACTGATTACGAAGGAGGAGAAACAAATAAAACAATGGGGTGATCGCTTTGAAGGACTCTTGAATTGACTATCACCTACAACTCGACAAGAAATACCACCAACAGCACGCACAGAACTGCTTACCAAAGGAACACAATCCTCCGACGTTAATAGAAATCCTGAATGCGGTCAAGCTGCTGAGGTCTGAGAAGGCAGGAGAACCAGACGGAATCTCCCTTGAAGCGCTGGAAACTGACCCAGAGACCATGACAGGTGGGCTCGTATCATTATTGCAAAAGGTTTGGAAGAAAAGAAAGGTGTCTACCAACTGGAAGAAAGGTTTCATCATTTTAAATCATGTCATTCAGCTGAATTTGGCTAATGCTGGGATTCAAGATGAGCATTTCGTTTTATTGGGGAGATTCGTCATTTGGAGGTACTTGCATTCTTAGCCACTGATATTGCTCCCATTGAGACTCGAATACACTTTCAAAGGGTTATTTAATGCATGTTTTCAAGGCTCGGGTTATCCATGTTTAAAAGACTGATTAATGAACAAAGAATATTCTCCCCGATAACGCCTTCTTCATCAGCTTCGACATTTATATGACAGTAGCAATTTAGGAAATATTGTTATTAATAACAATAATGTTATAAATGACATTAAATCAACAGAACTGACATATTGCACTTCAAAAGCATCAATAAGATAGAGGTAATTTGCGTTCCAAGTGGAACATGGGACTTCGACAATACACCACCACTTTGTTCTATTTTCTGCTCTCCCCTTCAGCTGGGTCCACGACTGCCCATTATTTCTCATATCCTCCTCCCCAACACACGATCTTCTCCATGTCACCCTCACACAAACGACCCACTCATCGTTTCCAGTTGGGATTCCACTCGATCACTGGCCTGGCTAATGGGCGATGTCATTCGGCAGTCTCCTCAACGCATTCCCGATCCATCTCCATTTTCTTTTATACATCTATTGAGCAATCGGCTCTTACTTGTTGGTTTGTTGCCAGCCAGAGTTTCCTGTTACTTATTATTTCAGGCCATTTGATCTTCAGAATGTAGCCAGTGAAGACAGTGGTTGATAAACGTCTGCAGTAGCCTGTTGGAAATCCTTTTCGTGACACGCATTTCAAGTTTCTGACCAATAAAGAAGGAGTGCCTAGTCAACTAGCTTGCTAGTTTTCTAGTGTGTCCCAAGCCCGGGTAAAGAGGGAGGGCTAGTGATACTTCAACACAAAAGCTAACAACTGGCTAGAGAAACTTCAATGCACAAAAATAAATTTCAAATAATATGCATTAATATAGCACTAAACTAAGTATCGAGTGAACTAAAAGAAATTAACGCAGAATTTGTGAATTTATAGCCTGGACGGAAAGCCAGGGTAAGAATACTGGCTTGACCTGCTCCTTTGACACACAGAATTCCGGTTGTTTTACGCGGATTACAATGGCTTCTGCTGTTTGGAGTATTTGGTATGTAGATGCCTTCGGTAATTTATACGTTACCCAGTAGATGACAAAGATTCTTCAATACTAGCTTTGTGGCCTGTTTGCATGAGGCGGTCCAATATAGAACTGTTGATGGTTTTAACAACACACTTTATTTAATTGCATAGAGGATTTCATCATGAGCTGACATCAGTTACAGAACCACTAGAAAAGCTGGGAGTACTGAACAGCTGTTTCGTCCTAGTTTGGGACTCTTCAGTGGCACGCTCCCACTAGTTCTCCCAGGTTTTCCAATGGTTCTCTAACTGATATCAGCTCATGATGAAATCCTCCAGTCAATCGAACAATATCCCTACAAAACCAATACTTGAAAACTATTTATTTAACCTCATCGATAGGTGTTCCTGAGCACGATAAATTACGTTCCTAGACCAGTGGTCAATATAACTGGCTCCACACGTGCAGATGAATTAACAGATAGAAATTGAGGTGGCAAGCCTCGGTGCATCATTTTTCAAGTTAAGAATCGCTACGGCTTGTTTGGAAAACATATTCTTTAAGGTGACCGAATGCAAGAGTTTTGTGTTTTGAAATGTTATTGCTTCTGTTAATGCTTTGGTTACAAGACGACACTTTCAAACAAGTATTTCGCAAACACCGTGGAAGAAAAATACTCATAAACAAAACAGAACTATATCAAAATTGACTAGTTAGAAATTACACATTTTTATCACAAAATTGGTTTCATGTAATCATTTTGAAATATTCATAAATGTATATATTTTTTTGACGCAAAAGACTCTACAGTCAAAAAGCCTTTGAAGAAACAAAAAACCTTGGAAAATTGTGATCACGTTGTCTGTAAAACGAAGTCTATTGATCCGCCGATAAATAACCTTGAAATTAACTTCAACCAATCAAAACTGCTCTGATGCTATGTGGGTGTTGGACAGACTTTAATATATTTACATAAACCTAATAGAATCATGAAAATACTATTCACTGATGTAGCGAAATTCGCATAGAAATTCAAATTTTCGTTGAAAGTAACAAAGAATTGTCCAATTTTTTTCGACTTTCTTAAAATAATGATATACCTATCAAGTGGATAGAAGCACATAACATTTTAAAACACATGCTCACAACAATTTTGACACAGTGGAACATATTAATCTCATTTCTGAGATAGAAATTTGAACATAATTGTAACAGGAAGTGATGAAGTACAAATTCACTTTACTAACACCTTGGACGCTTTTGCCAACATCATTGCCGGATAATGACTGTGAAGACAAAGAGGCGACATTATTTTGCAAATTATTAAGTGAACGTGTCGAGAATCAATATGGCCGCGAGGTGTTTTGGCCAACTGGTCGTGGAGAAGCATTTCTACAGAATTCTTTCAATTCATTTGAAAATAGATTTCTGAAGTATTCACAGTATGCTTTATTGATTGTTTCTGGTGAAAATGCTTCATGTCTGGATCATATTTATCCTAGATTTCTGGTCTTTTTTACAGCGAAACAATCATGGGCAGATAGAATTATAATTGTATTTCTGAAAAAGCCTACATATTCGTTTATTTTTGATACAAGTCTGTTAAAGCATCCACCGATTGTATTCAATGGTGATTCCTCTGATCAGTGGAATAATGATAAAGAGGCATGGTCACAGATCATACAACTGATAGAACGTAAGTAAATTACATTTGTTTAAATTATTTTCAAGTATTGGTTTTGTTGGGATTTTGTTTTGATTGACTGGAGGATTTCATCATGAGCTGTCGTCGGTTAGAGAACCATTGGGAAACCAGCTGGAACTACTGGACAGCTGTTTCCTCCCTCCTAGTTTAAGGACTCTGCTTCAGTAGGACGCACCCACCGACAGGGTTCGAGGCCAGGACCTTCTGGTTATAAGGCCAGCGAACTCGTAGGCCACTAAGCTACTGGGGCCCGATCTAATAGCCAGTCCAGTAGTTCGAGGTATTCCAATGCTTCTCATTAAGAAAACGTCCAACAATTTAAATTATTTTCATAAATTTCTTTTGAAATTTATGAATAATGTTTATTTTTTAGCATTAGTCATAACCGAAGCAATTACAAAAGTGATTATAAAGTTTCGATAATCAGTCCATAAAATCGATCTCAGCATGAGTGCATCTGTCTTTGAACAGTTAACTTGAGGATCTCTGCTAACCTCCCTACAAGTTGATAAATCAGGGTCAAGTATGCTTTAGGATTAGAGTTTCACTTCATAATGTTTGAGTAAATGGGGATATAAATGAACTGAATTTTCCTGCATAGTATTTTTACTGCGCTGATTCTATCGTTAATCATTTTTGGAAAATGAACGAGATATTCCCATATTGAGTCATAAGAAAAAGGCGTAAACAGCGAAGAAAATTTTCTTTTCGATGATTCGCTTTCATAAGCTGTACAATCGTAATTATATTTAACAAAGAATTCATAAGAACAGTCAGATATTGGTAAAATTCGTTCTCAAAAATGTATTACATAATGTAAGGTGTAATCTAGAAGGGATGACTATTTGTAAGTTAGAAAAGAGGCAGACGTTGGTATGACGTAATAGGTTGAGGTAATGACTAATTAATAAGTTCGTGTAGAATGGACGGGAACTAGTGTAAAGGTGATGGAGTATTTTTATATAAAATCTTTATGAAAACACAATGTTATTAATAAACAGTAATAAAGTGATAATTAAATAAGGATGGTGAGATCACTAATAACAATAAACTTACATGATAAAGAAAAGCTAAATTATAGTAAGAACGTGACTCTGGCCATGGCAGGGCGAGGGAATGAATGTAGCACTTTTGAACGCAGAGGGCCGGTTTCAGATGCCGAATAGCTAATGAATCAGCTATGTATGGATGGCGTATGCAAAGTCCCTTTGTACTATATCGAGGGACTCTGTATAGTAATGTGAAGCAATCATGCGGAGGTGCTCGGTGTCCGGAGATGAAAAGGTTTCCGAGGATGGAGATGCTAGTATTCAGCTTTCCTTCTCTGGCTAGATAGCCAAACTTGGCAATCTTCTAGAATGCGTTTGTGGACTTGACGTTGAGTACGGTCGATATACTTTGCTCCAGACGAGCAAGCTTATGAAAATGAATCGTCGAAAAGAAAATTTCCTTCGCTGTTTTGCGTCTTTTTCTTATTTTCGGAAAAATTGAATTTTTTGACTCTTAAGTGTTCACCTTAGCATCATTTTAAGTCTTCTCTTCTCTTTTGTGATTTTATGTTCCTCACTCTTGAGGGATCCCTGTGAAATACTTGATGGTTTTTGTAGTGACTTCATCCGATTTTGCACTTTATCAGTGAATATTGAAAATCAGAAAGTCATAGCATATTTTGCAAACTTTTTGGGAAAACTATTTGGTATTTACTTCTTAGGAAGACTCGCTTATGAGTATTCTAGATGGTTTACTGATTTCAAACTCGACCAAGTTCCTTTGATGATTAGTTCTCTGACAACATGAAAAGCTCTTTATTCTTTTCTAACGTCGCAAGTTTATTTTTTTATACAAAGCCGCTTGTTGCAGTGAAAGAAAAGTTTAGTTAAATTATACTAGAAGGCTGTAGATTAACAGTCTTATATCAGGGAAACTGACAAGTAGGTAAAATGAAAAATATTTATGGAAATGTCCTATTAGTTTAAAATTCCGGAAACTGTTGGTAAAAAGTAAGAAATAAAGGTATGGTAGTCGCTTCACATGATAATAATAAGAAAAAAGTTACTTTAGAATCAGTTATAACCGCTAAATTTGTAAGTATGCAAGCACATTGTCGTTATATATATATATACGCATCAATTAGCAGGTTATAACTTATTTGCCCACTTGAAATATAGAGTGGAACAAATTTTGCCTTGTAATTTATTGCATAACTGCAAGCTTTACTGCAGTCTTATCTGCAAACATAGTAACTAACATTGCTAAAGGCAACATTATTGGGTCTATCCGCTAAATGAAGCATAAAATTATGAATCGCTAACCTCCATCACTAATGCATCAAACCATGGTTTTATATTTTTCTCTGTTGAATCACTGAATATTCTTTTTCGATGAGCGTGATGTATACAACAAGAGATCGGATAACAGTGATGTTGAAACTACCTTTAAGGTGACTGCATGTCAAGCGGTTTACACAACAGGAGGTGAATACTAAGACACGATTGAACCGAACCATGGATCAGGAATATCGATTCGGTCGGTTTTCGACACAGAACTTTGCACATATGCGCGGCAGCTCAAGTCGCCACACTCCATGTAGCACACAAAGCAAGAGAAGAAAGTAGAAGGAATAAAAAATAGAGACAGTAGACAGAGATATGAGACAAAAGGAATAGTAATAACGAAGAACAACATAGTTCCATTGGAAATTGTAAGTCACTAAGAGTGGATGCATCTGCGCTAGGCATTGAGAACGATTTTGAGCCATGTCACTAATTGTTTCCAACCATTGGTTTTTACCGTCCCGAGTACCCCAACCAGTCAGGAAGTCTACACCTTCCTACGTGGCTTAGACTAATTGTTGTAGATTTCATTGACTGGTGCCATGTTTTCGTTTGACCGCCTCTAGCTGTTTTCCAGCCTGGCCTTATATCAGTTAATATTGCCTATTGTCGAGGAAGGCGATGACTAGGCATACGTAGCACATGTCCTAACCATCTTAGTCGATGTAATTTCACAGTCTCGTCGACTGATTTCCCCGCCTTACCTAGCACACAGGGTGATGTAGGTCGCTGCCTGATTGTATTCTTTAACATACTAACGATAGTTTAGTATTATGAAGTTTGAAAATCTGAAATTTCTTGATATTCTTTGTTCAAGAACACATATCATATACCTAACTTATATATGTTCCCAATTCTAACTAGATTGGAATTCCTTGTTTAGTTATAATCTCTCCTGTCACGTCCATGTGTGTGTGTGTGCATACCAGCGTAATTCCCATCGTGTTTCTCTCTGTTTCCTGTATTCTATTATCGCATTGTTGTTACATTTATGTCCACATTTCTACGCTCAGATGTCAGTCAATCAATCGATCGACCGATCGATCAATACAATGCAAAAAGGACTTGAAATTTATTATTTTTTTAATACTTACAGAGTTAGATGAATGACCATCTGACAGTTTACAATGTAGGCTTTATGCATGTGCTGACAACTTTTGTTTTTTTTTAACAACGATCAATAAAGTTTCAAAATAAATTTAATATGGTACTATGTTTGTGAAGCTCTGAGGAGTATTATAAAATGGTGAAAGGGAGTTGTAGGTCTCCATCATTTCTTCTTACATTTTCGATAATAAGGTTGTCAATCTTGATATAAAAATAAAACTTGTGCACTGTGGTAGAGTGTAATTCCATTATGGGTAAATTTTGTTTTGATAAAGTCTCACAGTGTTATACAGTAATATTTACTGATGACCACGTTTCGAGCACAATTTATTGCTCATAATCATATCAAGGTAACCACACGACTTCTTAAATTCATTTATATAGTTCCATTGTTTTTCACTTGATTTTCACTTGATTTGATTGGTAGTAATATTTTGCATATTTCGGGTATGAGTGATGATTCATTCCTATTGCATGTGTTGGGTGTAGATTCGATGAACAAAGATTCAGTAATCAACCTCTCTCTCCACCTACCTAGATTACTTTTTAGAATTTTAACCCTCTTCCACCCTATTGTGTGGTTGTGTGCCAATGCATGCATTGCAATTGCTGCGCTTTTTTCTAAATTACTTATCTTCTCTGGGTCAACCATTCTTACCTTAGCTAAATTCTTATGTTCTGACAATCTGACTACCCCTGACCTACTAGTTCGACCTATGTAGTTGACCTCACAATCATTGCAGGGTATTTTGTAAATTATATTATTTTGTCTAATTGGGTCCACTTGGTCCTTTAACCTACAGAGCTCGTCCCTGAGTGAGTTTGTAGGTTTGAATGCCGCCGTAATTCCTGCTTTATTTAGAATCCTACGTAGGGTCTCAGATGTCCCCTCTTTATATGATATAACTGTAGATGACTTATATTCTCTCTTATTTATATTATTATTACTAGTTTCACAATTCTTTTTATTTGGCTTTTGGCTTTTTTCGATCTTCCTAATGAATTTTAGAGGATGGTAATTTAAAACCAACGCCTCTTCTACCTGTTTTATTTCGTCATTTAGGTCTTTTTCTGTGCTACTTAGTGCCATTGCTCGGTTTGTTAAACACTTAACTAAGTCTGCCTTAACAGTTAGAGGATGATATGAATTAAAGTTTAAATATCTACTAGAATGCGTTGGTTTTCTATAAACACTAGTGTGTAGTTTGCCTTCTTCTATTCGTTTTATTTTACAATCTAACATAGCTAATTCTCCTTGCTCATTTTCGGCTTCAAATGTGAATTTTATTCCCTCCACTAGTGAGTTTATGTGTGTCAGTCTTCACCAGATTGGAAGATTCGGATACGTTACGCATCCTCAACAACAGTCTTTATCTCCGAAAAGTGCTGGTTGAAATCAGACCAAAACAGAAAGCGAGGAGTGGATAAATACATACTGGCATCAATGCATGAAGTCCTAAACTGTTGATTCGCGAGCCTCATAGAATGGGTATAGACTGCCTTGCTGTGGTACTTAGAATTGTAGGAAAAAATATTTGAATTTTCTTGATG